AATCTCCTAAATCGATTAAGAAGGGAAATACCAAGGTAAAAATAGAAGTTAATGCGTTTCATACACTCCAAATGGATTGAGACCGGGTATGTCGACAAGGTAAGCTTCACCCGCCATGCAAATCAACATCTGATACAAAAATTTAATTACACTTTTAGATATTTCGGTGATATATTGGCTCTCAATAATGACGACTTCAGTATGTACACTAAAGAGATTTATCCTGCTGAACTTACTTTAAATAAAGCTAATACTAACAATGAACACTGTCCTTTCTTGGATCTTGATATTTATATCTTTAACGGGAAGCTACATACCACAATTTATGATAAAGGAGATGATTTTTCATTTCCTATTGTTAATTATTCATTTTTAGATTGTGACATTCCCTTGTCACCATCTTATGGTGTTTATATATCTCAACTTGTTCGGTTCGCTCGTGTATATAACAACGCATTTGATTTAAATGAAAGTAACCTCTGTATTAATGAAAACTTACTACACCAGGGTTTCCGATATCACAAACTAGTCAAAACATTTACTAAATTTTATCATCGGTACAAGGACATCATTCGTAAATATAAATCAACATGCAGACATCTTATACGTTCAGGTATTTCACATCCAATCTTTTATGGTAATATTCTATTCATAGCACAAAAATGTCGACATTCAACTCAAAAGCTAACCAAACCTTTAAACAGACTTATTCAGAAGGGATATAGTTACGATACTGTTGTCAGGTCATTAAAGATGGCATATTTTGGTATTAATATTGATTCCCTCATAGGGTCTTTGCATCGGAAATAAACACATTTATTCTAAAACCAGTTGTTGGCATGATACGGGTTATGTTCTTCTCATATATGTTATGATGGTATGATACTAAACCCCTACTTGGAGGGATTGTGCTTGATTTTCATAGGATGAAGATCAGTTTAATTGAGGTCTGGAGCTGGCATGTCAGTAACTCCTAGTAGTCCTTTGTTAATGTATGTATCATTGTCATTTTGATTAGTTTCTTTTGTTACCTATTCTGACATCGGACTCTGACTTCCTTTAATCTGAGTTTTACTGTGCGTATTGCTGTGTGTTTGTTTATTCTACATTGGCTAGAGGTATAGGGGGAGGGTTGAGATCTCACAAAACATGTTTAACCCCGCTGCATGTTTGCGCCTGTCCCAAGTCAGGAGCCTCTGGCCTTTGTTAGTCTTGTATGTTTTTTTAGTTTTAGTTCATTTATATGTTTAAGAGTTTAGTGTGATGTCCATTTTCATTGAACTAATACACATTTTTGTTTAGGGGCCAGCTGAAGACCGCCTCCGGGTGCGGGATTTTCTCGCTGTATTGAAGACCCATTGGTGGCCTTCATCTGTTTTCTCCTCTTTGGTCGGGTTGTTGTCTCTTTGAAACATTCCCCATTTCCATTCTCAATTTTATTCATAAACTTAAATGTTAGATTTATACATTTTCACATGAAACTAACATTGATTTCAAACTAATTGAAACAATTCACAAAACTTTCTGTAAAGGTATGCGCTAAACACTTTAGAAATAAGACTTTTGCGTACCTAGTAACACGGAACACATTTGAAATATACCCTCAATAAGAATAAAACATCAGGCCGGCATATTAATTTTTGTTAAACGGTTATCGTTGTTTTCGTTGTTTTAGTAGTTAACTATGAAACTGTTGAAGGAACATGGAGAGGAAAGTTACGTTGACAGGCTATAACCAGATATCTGCATGGTGCCGATTCAAAAACTGACAACAGACTTCATAAACAACAATGGTTGAAATTTGGAACAGTATGAAGTTGCTTCAGAGGATTGCTTCTGATCTCGGTGGAACCTCCAAATTGTCACAGGGTAAATGGCCACTTGGGTTGTATTACATAGGGCGTTGATATAGTGACGATGTATGTTGCAAACCAACTTTTATTCACACTGAAAATACATTATTATAATAAACATGTATTTCAAATGTGAACTTGAAGTTTCCTTGGAATATGAACTGTGAATTTGATAGGAAAAATATGCATTATAATTCCTACAAAATTAAATGTGCTTACCTGAAAATAGGGAAAAAGCTATATATTCCATTGTTCTTTTACGTGCATGCTGAAGTGTGAAACTCGCATTAGTACGAGTACACATTATATATAGTACCAGAAAGTGTGGCGGGGTTGCATGCATTATTAATTCGTGCAGAGTAGTATATAGACTAAAGCTTTTATCTAACTGTCCGTCAATGAATGAACGAATGTGTAAATGATAGTAAATATAGTAAAGACAGCATATAGTATAGTACTAGTATAAAAACTGTACTCTTCTGATAAATTACTACGGTGACATCAATTTGAATTAATTTACCAGTATATAAAATATGCTCATGATTCAGACGACCATCTTCAGTGTTTATTAAAGATGAAAATACAAAAATAGGTGTTTAACCTGGAGGAAAGTTGCATTTTTATTTTGTTAAAAGTGACATATAGCATCTAGCTCATTACGGTTATAATATTCATGGAGCTAGAAAGTTAAGGAAATGCCATTCAAATCTTACTCTTTGACCTAATAAATTAATGACGTGTTTTCTTGTCGACTTGTTCCTTTATTCATATGAGACTGACTTTATACAGGAACTTCTTAGGAAGAAAGAATGGAAGTGAACAATATCCTTTAACTTCAATTTTCGCTGTATAGACGATGTTCTCTCACTAAATAATGTAAAATTTAGTGACTATGTTAAACGCATTAATTCCAACGAACTTGAGATAAAGGATACAACAGACACAGTTAATTCCGACTCATGTCTTGACTTACATCTAGAAATTTACAATAATGGTCTTTGAAAACAAAACTTTACGACAAAAGAGATGATTTCAGCTTCCCAACTGTGAACTACTCATTTCTATGTAGCAACATTCAAGCAGCACCTGCATACGGAGTATATATCTCCCAGTTGATAAGATATTCCAGGGCTTGTTTTTCCTATCTTGATAGAGGGTTGCGGCTCACAAAGAAGCTATTTAACCGGGTTCCAAGTGGTGAAGTTGAAATTGTCCCTTCGTCAATTTTACGGACGCCATCACAAGTTGGTTGACCGTTATGGAATATCAGTTTCACAGATGACAACGGATATGTTCCAATTGTCGTAACTACATTCCCGTCCCCTTTTCCCCGAATGCGACCTACCGAATTGGACTTATCACCGGGTTCGTACTTACATGAGTAACACGACAGGTGCCACATGTGGAGCAGGATCTGCTTACCCTTCCGAAGCACCTGAGATCATCCCCAGTTTTTGGTGGGGTTCGTGTTGCTCAGTCTTTGGTTTTCTATGTTGTGTTTTGTGTACTGTTGTTTGTTTGTCTTTTTCTGTTTAGCCATGGCGTTGTCAGTTTATTTTGTGAGTTTGAATGTCTCTTTGGTATCCTTCGCCTCTTTTTCATATATATTACGAATCTATAACGTATTATCGACAACTAATATTTCTTTTAGTGATTGTTGATCGTAAGCTAATCAACTTTCGAGTTTGTTGTCAAAGTTTACCGGATCGCGACATTGATAAACAATCAACACAAGGCACGTGACAAACAAGTGAATTCAAAGAGCCATGATATATATTTTTTTTTTTTTATCTCCCATGCGTTTCCATTTGTTAATTAAACTTGTCCGTAACAGCTGTTAAATGATTTGTTGTATTAAATTTGTTTTTTAGGAATCAGTTATTACTATTTACCTTCAAGGGCACGTTTGTTTACATTCTTTCATCACGGCTTCACCCCTCCCACTTTTGCTGTACGATGGGCGAAGTTCTAACGAGAGGTCACTGAATAAGGAAATATGTCGGCGAATTAATGTTCGGGAAGACAATAATTCAATAGCAGTACATTTATGAAGATTTTGATAATATAAAGGATTTTCTTTTACAAGAAAATTCACGTACACTTCTACAACAGTAAAACTTAGCCATTCAAGTACATAAATCATGTTCAACTTTTAGCTAAAACTTGAAGTTTCATATGACTTTAAACCGTTGTTTTTCAATAACTGCATGTGTCTTCTTTCGTGAGTTTTCTTTTCTACAGTATACCATTGTTTTGGGTTTTTTTAGTTGTTCTTGTGTTGTTTTCTTTTTTTTCTGTTATGGAGTTGAGTACTTAAGCAGTACGTTATTTAATTCCTTTTTAACAAGTTGACTCATTGACATATATCTTAAGATTTTCTGTTATTCATATATAAAATATTAAAAAAATGGAAAAATGAGAGCATATATGTTTTACGTAAATGTCATTCTTGATCGACCCTTGTACCTTCAGAAAACAATTGTACGTTTTCTTCCTCATCAAATCGCACATATACTCATCTTTGAGATCTTTGCTCCTAACAACAGTTGTTTGTGTTTCCTTATATTTTTGGGATATGATTATCTAACGTTCATCTGACCTACATATTTTGATTGATATACTTTACAGAAAGAGAGAACTACTCGACAATAAGCGGAAGAATACACGAAACATACTAAAGTAGATATAATGGACCCGGAACAATCCGATCCAAATAAACTTTGTTACATCCTTGAAATCAAATTCAAATATATATTTCCGTCTGAACTTTCAAACTATTCAAATAAAATACACGCTACAAATGTCTGTAAGTCACATGAAACTTCCATGAAAAGTAAATATGTTAATATAAATAATGGAATTTGGTATAGAAACCATCCACTACGCCTTTCATTGTATCCTCAACACATCTAAGAATTTAATATGAATACAAGTTTCAGAGAGATTTCGGAGGATATTAAAGCTCGAGCGTATATCCTCTATTGGAATGAACAGAAAACGGAATATCTAACACCTAATTCTATTCTGTTGTCATTTTTCCTTTTGATTGGAATACCGGGCAATTTAGCAGTCATATTTGTTTATCAGTTTCGCCTGAGTGAAAAGACCGATGGAAGATATTTCATATTGCCACTGGCTTGGACTGATATGGCCGCATTGTTAATAAGTGTAGCAGCTACTCTTACTAAAAACACGAAGCAAGTGATTTTTCCGGGATTTGAAGCATGTAAACTGTTTCTGTACTTTAGCTATGTATCTACAAGCATTTCATTATATCTTCTGTGTGTTATCGCCATACAACGATATTTAAAAATATGTAGACCCTTTGGTCGACAAATGAATTTGGTTTGGAAGCGTTGTTCTGTTTTAATTTGCACATTGGTATCAGTTATTTTGTTTATACCAGTGCTGTTTTACTATGGACTGGTTGAAATTAGAAACCCGAATCTTGGTAATATTACCGGTAACCAGTGCAGTAATCTCCCTGGTTCCCCGACAAAACTTAAACTGCTGAAGATTTTCCAAGGACTGGAGGTTTTTGCCACATTTTGCAATGTTAGTGTTATAACAATATTGTACATATTAATAACAAATGCAATAGTTAAGCAAACAAGTAAAATGAAAACAGTCCAAACGAAAGTAGAAAACTCTAATGTTGCAACAGCAGGCAGATCAGAAACACGAGAAATGGAAACCAGAATAGACACCTCTCCTCGAGTTACCGGAGGAAAGAAAATTCTTTCCACTTATTCTGATCCACGAAAATCTGCTTTCAGAATATCGTTCATGTTCATGACTATTACAATTGTCGGATTTCTTGCATACTTGCCATCTTGGACATTTATATTGATAGAAACGAACAACCCAACCTTTTGGAAAAACCTTTCTACTGTTTCGTTCCACATCTGCCTAGCGTTACGGAGAATGTATATGGTAAATCATTTATGCAATCCTTTTATATATGGAGTGTTCGATAAGGCTTTCCGGGAAGAGGTGAAGAAATTGTTTGGCAAACATGTTTAAGAGTCTTCTTTTGAGACAGATTGAAATAAGCAATGTTGCTTGTTCCTGGATCAATTTTTTCATAATGTATAGTCGTATTTGCCTCTTGGTTACTCTGTTTATAAATGTCAATCATACCACATCTTATTTTAATATTCTTTAAAACCACCCTAAAAATTCGCTAGTTTATCGTTGAAGCTAGACTATAAAGGATCACTGATCATTTTTCTGGCCCCCAAGGGTGACTGGGGAATAGAAGTATGGTCACCATTGGTCTTCCTCCGACCGGCAGTAAAACCCTTGCTAAGGGGCGTCCGTTTGGCTGTGAGGGATGTACAAATTTGCAGCCACGTCCGGTCAGAATGGGGACGTTAAATCCGATGCCTCGTGTAAAGAGAGTGCCACGCTCTTTGCACGTGAAAAACCCTTGCAACAACTCTTTGAGGGGTCCGTAGGTGACCTGTTGCAAGGCTAAACTTCCGTCCCTATCCAATATACCCTCATTTCCCGTGGCAGTCAAAATTCCCCGACCTTAATCCCGGAAGCCCCTATTACAGAACCTACTTATTGTATTTATTGTTAATTTGTTCTCGTCCTGAATATGCATGAAATATTTGCCACTGGACGTTAAGCAACACCAACAATCAATCAATCAATCATTTTTCTGTATGAGAATAATGCTTAATTTATCTTTGAAAAAGTGCGTGCATTTCTTTCAGGAAAAGGGCACTTACCGCACGATATTAATGACGATAGAGCGGCAAATACAATATTTTGAGGGCAAATGCAAAGTAACTGATCTAGTAAAAAAATACAAAAAATGTAAACGAGACACATATATTGCACAAAAAGAGGTTGGAATTACATTATATAAAATCAATTATACTAATATAAAACATATTTAAGTTTGAAAGAGCATATGTTCAACTCGGTTGTTAAATTGTAGCACTATAAATGCATATGATTTAATGTTTAAAAGATCACGTGTTCAAGCATTACCCGCCGTGCAAATCATCCATCTGTCAAACAATAACAATCGGGAATAGGACACAATCAAAACATTCTATAAAATACTTCGTTCAATATTATCAACAAAAACGCTTTCATGCAAATTGAAATCTTCATTGAATCTAGAGTTACCTCCCGTTTGACGACTATTATCTGTGAATATGTTATAAAGAATGACTAGGGAATAAAAATATGGTCACTTTGGTCTTCTTCCGACAGGCATTAAAACCCTAACAACTATGGGTCGTTCGTTTGGCTGTGTGTGATGTATAAGTTGGCAGCCACGTCCGGTCAGAATAGGGACGTTAATCCGATGCCTCGTGAAAAAAGAGTGTCACGCTCTTTGCATGTTACGAACCCTTGTAACAACTCTTAGAGGGGTCCATAGGTGACCTGTTGCAAGGCACAATTTCTTTCCCAATCTAATATACCCTCATTTTCCAGTTGCAGTCCAAATTTTCTCCGACCTTATCCCGGACGGTCTCTATTACAGGATCTACCTATTGTATTTATTGTTAATTTGTTCTCGCCCTGAACATGCATGAAATATTTGCCATTAGACGTTGAGCAACAAACAATCAATCAATTTATGTGAATAGAAAATAAAACATGCTATAGCGGATGGAAACAATTACCACTCGCTTTTCTTCACAGTTTAATAGGTAGTTCATGTGTAAAATATAATGTATATATCATATTTATGTAAATTAATAGAAAGGTAAATAAAACGAATACAACAGTGATTTTTTTTATTTTCTCTTAATTTCAATAAATTCACCAGTATATAAAATATTATCATGATACAAACGACAATCTTTGGTGTTCATTAAAGATCTTTGTGACATTTTATACCGAACCTTTATATAGGTAAATATCATTTTAGAAATTATTTTGCAAACTTGTAGTTCTCAATTCTTGGAAAAAAGTTAATATTATAGAGCTATAAAGCTCTAAACACGTTTTATGTTGATTTCTTTTAGCTCCAAATGATAATAAAATTGCTTATATCGAAGATATATGGAAAGTAAAAAATATGCTCTCATTGAGAATTCAAATGACAAAGTTTCGGAATTTACAGCGGGTTAGAAGTTTTTAAAGGACTACTTCATCGCCATTTACCTTAATCAGTGGGCAAAAATGTATAGACTAAATGCACAACAAAAGCTATCTTAAAAGTTCTTCGTTCAACATATCGACAAAAACGCTTTCATGCCGATCTCCATTACATCCCTCAAATTAACTAGAGTTATCTCCATTTAGACGATGGATGTATACAAATCTTAGAATGTGAAAGAAAAGATGAAAATAAATGGTCATATACTCTTATTCTATTCAGAAGTTCCCAGCGTTTGAGTTTGTTAGGTATAATATATAGATGCTTTCAATGTAAGTCGATCTTGTAGAAAATTCATCTGTTTTAGTGTTACCTGGTACAATATGAAAGATAGATATAATCGTACGCAACGTTTTTAAGGACATTTAATATTTAATGTACTTTTTTTATACTTTGAAAACTGCTTCGTTATTATATACCATATATACGTCTGTATAGAGCAAAAGAAATCTTTACTGGACTGAAATGTTGGATTTGACCATCCTCTTTTCGGACTTGACTGGAAACCGCTTTCATCTTTTTTTTATTTTAAATTTAACATCTTCATTCTTCAAAGTATGTCAATATTATAAGAGTATTTAGGTGGGTGCATTTTTTAATTAAATGCACAATTGAAAACTGATAAAAATTGTTTCTTTGATTAAGCTGGACTGTATCTATGCTTATGCTATTTATTGAAACAATCAGGCAATATGCATAGGACAGATACAGTTAAGTCTGCCTCATATCTTGACCTACATTTAGAAATTGACAATGAGGGTCTGTTGAAAACAAAACTTTATGACAAAAGAGATGATTTCAGCTTCCCAATTGTGAACTTTCCATTTTTATGAAGAAACATTCCAGCAGCGCCTGCATACGGAGTATATATCTCCCAGTTGATACAATACTCCAGGGCTTGTATTTCCTATCATCACTTTTTTTATAGAGGGTTGCTGTTCACAAGGAAGCTATTAAACCAAAAGTTCCAAGTGGTGAAGTTGAAATCATCCCTTCGTAAATTTTACGGACGCCATCACGAGTTGGTTGACCGTTACTCGTAATGTCGTAACTACAATCCCGTCCCCTTTTCCCGAATTTGTCCTACCGAATTAAACTTATTACCGTGTTCGTACTAACATGAGCAACACGACGGGTGCCACATGTGGAGCAGGATATGCTTACCCTTCCGGATCACCTGATATCACCCCCAGTTTTTGGTGGGGTTCGTGTTGCTCAGTCTTTAATTTTCTATGTTGTGTTTTGTGTACTATTGTGTGTCTGTTGGTCTTTTTCTTTTTTAGCCATGGTGTTGTCAGTTTTTTTTCGACTATGAGTTTGAATGTCCCTTTGGTATCTTTCGCCTCTCTTCTATAGCTATTCTCAGAAACTGAATCGAAATGGTTTTGAATAGAATAAGAAATCATTACGTACATCAATTAGGGGAAACATGTTTTATTTTACTGCTCACAGATGCTAATGCCTGCATGAATGAATTAATAGTAAATAATCAGTATAGCAAAGATTATTTCTTTTTAATGATATGTGTAATTCAAATCATGTGTCGTTGATGAAGAAGAAAAATAAATGTCCTTCATACTTTTTAGCTATTTATGTGTATGATTACGTCATGTGGATGTTAATTTTATGAGCAATAACTTAATTTTCTTCTTTGAAGTTGTTATCAGAAACTGGACATAAGTACCTCTCCCATGTTTACACACTCAGTTTTTTAAAGCACCTGTTTGTTTGTAAGAAATATTATATGCCGCTTAATCAGCATAGAATGGCAGATTTATAGCCCTACTTTACCATTTCATAATTGAGAGAAGATATGATAAAGAAGATAAGTTTCAAAGAATAACTTATTAAAGCTCTTTCCAATCAAGTCCAATAGTCAAATTTAGCGGACTCATCAATGAGTTGTTCACCTTCAGAGAGTCTGGTAACTATCAACGCACAGTATTGCATTTGGATCCCCATTCAAACTAGAAGGGTTGAGATTTTGATACACATCTATTTCATGTGGGGAGGGGTTTTTGTACTCTCATGAAAAACTATGTCAAATGTCTGTATACCGAAATTCCTCTAGACTATATTGAAGATTTTCAATAGTGCAGAATTGTTATTTCATGACACTTTCCAAGAACATAAAGAATGTATACGTCACCGTCATTGTTTTTCAATCTGCAAATTGTTCAAATTTTGTAAGGAAAATTGATCGTCTACTTGCATATGTCTAAAAACAAAAAATAAATGATAGAATTTTGAAATAAGATAGAGACGATGTGATTTATAAGATGATTTCACAAATAAAATGAAAAGTAGGTGCCTAAACTCAATTTACAGTGCATACTTTTTTGTAGTTATCTGAGTAATCTCCCCTAATATAGCAGCGTTTTTAATGTTTTAGTCTATTACAAATTTTATTTTTCTTTGTGATAAAAATAAATGTATAGCCATAAAATAAAATCGTATGAATCTATGAAAATTCCATCAAATTAAAAGTAGTTCTGCACTAAATTTATTTACTTGAGTAAAAATATAGCATGCTCTTAAAGACGGTAGGTATCCTTTGTGGTCATCTGCGACTCCCATTGTTGATTTCGTTGAGATATGAGCAAATATTGATGAGAATAGGAAAGTTCTATACAGCCAATGACTCTCTGGACTTCAACAATTTTGCATCTTCCTATAGTTGGTTGATCTCTGTTTTGTCGTATTTCATCGGCTATATAGCAACTTTTATTTCTTCTTTTTGTCAAATTTCTTTGAATTAAAGATTAGATTCAGAAAGAAAGCAAAACCTGTACAGGGATTGAAAAAAAACGATAACAAGAGGAAACCGTCTTAAATGGCAGCTTTATAATTTCAACTTATATTTCAACGATTAAATAAATTAAGTATTTATATTAGTATTTTGATTTCATTTTTAAGAATTCATATTATCTTGAAATTA